TCTCTCAAAACTTTCCCTGTGTAGTATCCCCTCTCTCTCAAAACTTTCCCTGTGTAGTATCCCCCCTCTCTCAAATGTAGAAAGATGGATGGCATCATTCCCTGAACCAATGCCACCACTGAAACATTGTTGAGGACAGTATACCTGACTAAAGCAGAGCTCACTATTCTATTGAGCCCAGATCTACCATAGCCAGTCCAACACTCCCCCCTCCCAATGCAGTCTATACTAGCTATACTCTCTACACTGCTGCCACCATTAAAGCAGGTTGTTGGGGAGAGTACAGTACCTGACTTGACCAGGGATCAAACACAGGGCACCTGTTCACTGTGCCAGTGCTCTATCACTGTGATATCAAGCCCAGGACCACTGCAGCCAGTCTGTACACTATTCATCATGGATTCATAATATATATATATATATATATATATATATATATATATATATATATATATATATATATATATATATATATAAAACTTAGATTTTAAAAAGTATGATCTCTATAAAACCCTGTATACCTACCAGAGGGCCATCTTTGAGATAAAAAACTAACACAGACTGGGTGATGTCCTCATATCTTGAGCTGCAGTGAAAGCTGAAAGCTAAAAGAAATGATTTTATTATTTTATATTTGCAGTCTTGTAATTATATTGTCGTACTATCACAGGTATGGTCAACCCTCCTTTTTTTAAAAACTGCATAGCCTATTACTTAAAGCAATAATAACTCTTCCTTTGAGATTCAAAATTCCGCAAGAAATACATTCTAAACAACACACGGAAATATATTATACTGCATTTTACCACTTAAACGGCTGTTATTGTAGTAAAACTAAAAACTGTGCTTGTCAATAGGGCTTTCGGTGCCTTTCTTCCCGGTAGTCAAGGCATTCATTGCCAAGGATTTTGGTGCATCACGCGGATTCTCGCGTGCATTCAAGACCAAAATAACATGTGGCTAGATAAGATATAGCACAATCCTCAGACGTAAGTTGCGAATTTTTGTACAGTGTGTCGGATAACGAATAGCCCAGAACTGCACACGTTTTGGATATAAATGCATTCTGAGCAATAAGACGATTATATCGTATGAATCTTATTTTATTGTAATAAAGTGTTGTTGTTGTCTGCTTTTCCCACGGTTTTAAGTAAGTCATCAGAAAACCCCGCTTGATATGCTATGTCAGAGAGAGCTCCGTCAGTTAAAATCTCTTAAGAGATTCTTAAGAGATTTTAACAAAAAACCATGCAAGCGTTTAGGATAAAAACCCTGGACTAACTTTGAATGCAGGAATGGGGTCCTTGACCATTGGTAAGTACGGGAAAATTTCCGTTTACGCCAGGAAAATCCAATTTTTGGCCAAAACGAAGAGTTATTATGACTTAAACATCTTTTAGGTACACAAAGTAGAATCAAAAACCCTTTCTAAGTGGATGGATCGCTTCTTCTTGAACTTATCTGAGAACAATAAAAACTTTGAAAAATAAAAGGACGATACGTGGTCCTAATAAATATCGAAAAAAAAGTTCATCGTCCCCTGTCGAATCTTGGCAGTCAGCCATCTTGACAGAGTTTAAAGAATGAATGAGTCGTGGCGCGATTTCTGTTAGGATAACTGGAGGTCGAGTATATGGAATGACGTATCAACCTCTCAACTTAAGTGCAGGTTTTGATCTTTGACATTTTCCAAATTTGTGCTGTGATCGTGCATTTATGAATTATAGATTTGTTGGTTCTGAATCATACACAAGGTCATAATTAAGAGCATACTTACGTTCACTGTAATGTTGCTGCTCGGCCACGGCGAACACAAACCCCAGCAACTGGAATACTATTGCAAACATCGTACCGCCACAGGCAGACAACTTTGGTCGACAACTTTATGGTTTATAAATCTCCTTTAGGCAAAGAGTGCCGCTCTTCAAGAGAAGCTTGCATAAAAATTTGCATTTTATTTATTACGTATATTACGCTAAGTTAATTTAGACCTACTACGAAGAGACATGCATTAGCGTTTTCTGATAAGTTTTTGCATTGACTTTTTATGTTACCCACCTCAACAGGGAGAGAACTTGGGTGCGAAATGTGGAATATCCCGTTAGAGGGCACCTGCCGCAAGGCGGCTCGTTGGTCTAGAACGAGGCCAGCGAGGGATGGATTAACCAGTACAGCAATCTCAATTACCCCGAAATACTCAAAAAGGCGACGCCGAGAAAGGAACAAAGAACAATAAAGGGATAGAATTATCTTCGCAATACCCTGTGTACGACATAATAAGTCAGTATAATATTGAGGGCACCTGCTTCGGGGCGGATCTACGTGTAAAACCTTTTCTTTCAATGGTTCTTCAAATTATTAGAAAAGATATTTCAAGCCTGGATGTAAGTCCTATTCAAAGCGGTCCTACTATTATCTCGTAGCGAAGTGTATACCACCGGTGTAACTATGGCTGACTGCAATTGTGTAGAGAAAGGACAGCACAAAGGAAAAGGAAATCGGTTTAATTTTAAAAAGAAAATTTTCAGTGGTGGATCATCTCAAGCAACCAAAAAACAATGGCTGGGGAAAAATATGAATACTGGGGAGAAATCTAACACGTGTAAATTTTGTGGCAAAATATTTAAACAGAAACGCTCTTGTGCTATTCATGAAAAAATTCATGCAGGAAATAAACTTAACAAATGTAGATTCTGTGGCAAATGTTTTACACTAAAAGGTAATTGCACTAAGCATGAAAAAATCCATACAGGAAAGAAACCTTACAAGTGTAGGTTCTGCAACAAATATTTTATAGAACAAAGTGATTGCACCAGGCATGAAAGAATACACACTGGAGAGAAACCTTACAAATGTAGGGTCTGTGACAAATATTTTACATATCAAAGTAGTTGGACCAGGCATGAAAGAATTCACACAGTAAATAAACCTTACAAGTGTAAGTTTTGCGACAAATATTTTACAGAACAAGGAAGGTGCACCAAGCACGAAAGAATTCATACTGGAGAGAAACCTTACAAATGTAGGTTCTGTGACAAAAATTTTGCACATCGGAGTAAATGCAAAAGTCATGAAAAAATTCACAAAGGAGAGAAATGTTTCAAGTGTAGATTCTGTGACAAATATTTTACAGAAACGTCTCATTGCACCACTCATGAAAGAATTCACACTGGAGAGAAACCATATAAGTGTAGATTTTGTGACAAATCTTTTACCCAAACGTCTCATTGCACCACTCATGAAAGAACTCACACAATGGAGAAACCTTACAAGTGCAAATACTGTGATAAATCTTTTACTGAAACATCTCATCGCATCAGTCATGAAAGAATTCACACAGGAGAGAAACCTTACAAGTGTAGATTCTGTGACAAATCTTTTGCAGTACAAAATAACCGCACCAATCATGAAAGAATTCACACTGGAGAGAAACCTTACAAGTGTAGATTCTGTGACAAATCTTTTGCAGTACAAAGTAACTGTGCCAATCATGAAAGAATTCACACTGGAGAGAAACCTTACAAGTGTAGATTCTGTAACAAATATTTTAGAAGAATACATCATTGCACCTCTCATGAAAGAATTCACACGAGAAAATCTTAATAATTCTTGTTCTCAACATGAAAGAATCCTTACAAGTACTGCGACAAATTTCCTTGGTCACACATGAAATATTGAAATGATTCAGTAGAAATTTGTCTGCTTTTTTATGAGAGAATTCGCATGGAGGAGAAACCTTTCTAGTACAAGTTCAGGTTCTGTGAGCAAACTTTTAAACAAAACTTTTTGTACATATGAAGTAATTTGCTCTGGAAAGAAACCTTACAAGTTCAAGTACAGCTGTCAATGATTAATTTTATCATTGAATATTTTAAGATTATGTGTAATGTAAGTCCAGCTCAAATTCAAAGTCCATTCACCCAACTTTTCCTTAATTGAGAGAGAGGGTAACACATACCACTGCTGTACAGAGTTCCCAATAGTCATGCAGTGTTCTATTCATTTCAATATCTTTTAATACAAAACTGTTTAGTAATAAGTTTAGCAATAAGCAATACTATAAATTAAGAAATTAAAATATTAAGAAAGGTATCTGAACTCTTAAACTAATAAATTAAGGGTATACAATAAGAACAAAATTAGTTCGAAAATAAAACCTACCTCTTAAAGTTTGGTCCTTAATTTTAGTGCACTGAAATTTAACCAACTGGCTATGTCTAAGCTGTCTGTGGGGTTTAGATGCTAATGGGCAATTTAGCTTGTCTTTGTTGTTTTTATTTCTCAAAGAAATTTTGCAGACCTTATTTTGGGCACTGCCACCACATAAACCATTAATGAAGAAACATTTTATGATTCTCAATCTTACAGAAAAGATTCATAGGACTGAAATGAATTTTAAAAACCAGCCACACTGAATTTATGTGACAGTGTAAAGCAAACAGTTTAATGAGAACTGTTCATCATAACACTGTGTCAGAATAGAGATAGGTTGTGAGATAGGTTGTTTCCCTGTTGATCACAGGGGGTAATATTTCAAGGTTCCGGCATTGTCCCAACAGAAGTGTTGAGATGAAAGTTTCCTAGATATACATCCAACTTATTGTGTAAAAATGGAATAGTTTTAAATGTCATCACTACTACACAAATCAAAGTTCATAAGAACTTGTGATTTATACATTAGCGCACGGCCGCGATTTGCGAAGCTTTCAAGATATGGGATAGCGCACGCTCGCCATGCTAGCGCACGTGCGCAACATAGCGAAGCTTTCGTGATACGGGGCCCAGGTTTCTGTGTCTTCTGGGGCTGTCTTCCATACAGATTCAGATTCTTTATTGACAGACATCTTCACTCCTTCTGGGGCTGTCTTCCATACAGATTCAGATTCTTTATTGACAGACATCTTCACTCAAAGGTACAATCAATAACAATATTAGTAACTATAACATAGAACAGACAAATAAATAGATAAAAAATATATATAGATTAGCATATTATTGATATAATGACTATACAAAATAATGAATACGCATGTCGCATTTCAAAATCAATTTACCAGGTTTGATCTACACGCCCAGTCTCTGCTGACAGCGCATAACGGGTCTCACACTGGTATTATGATCTTGTTTGGACAAACAATTAAAATTGGTTTCATAATGCAGATATTGTGAAATGTTAACTCCTATGTCGTATTGTAGACAATAAAAAAGGGGCGATGGTAATGCAGTTAAAGGGATAACTCTTCATATGAAATCTGCATTTCACAATAAAAACATTGTGAACAGCTCATAGAAATATCATATATATTCTGTTTTACCACAAAAACGACAGTTATAACTATTATTCTGATATGAGGTTGTCATTGAATCAGGCGACCTCCATAGATGGCTATACTCTGTTAAATTCTCTTAAGAGATTATTACCAAAAAAAAAAAGCTTATTTGAAAAAATTCAGGGCCTAACTTTGAATTTAGAAATAGATTCATTAACCATTGGTAAGTATGGGAACGTCGTGTTTACTCCAGGAAAATTAATTTTTTGGCCAAAACGAACAGTTATTATCCCTTTAATCATAATGTTATATTGCATCTACATAATTGAAAAAACTATTGTGCAGTCTCAATGCTCTTAAAGGAAAACTGAGTTAATGTAGGCCTACACTTTAAATATTTCACTGCCTATTCAGGTGACGATATCCTGTGCTTATACGGCTAATATACAAGCTCGATTTCACCGAAAACGGACAATATAAAGATATTTCTTGTAAAAGATTTAAATAAAGCCCCACATACTGTGGTAAGTCATGTGACTTTCTTGTTGACAATTTGTGTGACCTGCGCTTACCTGGGTCCCGTAACTCGAAAGCATCGCGTATTGCGAATAGCGATATCACAGAGAGGCTACAATGTATTATATGGGACGAGCTTTCAAGTTACGGGAGCCCAGGTCGCAGACAAGATGACGACAGAACTGTCTCGTCGGACTGAAGAGTACTGCAAAAGAGTTCTAGACAAAAACGCCTCAAACCAAGATATTGTGGAGGCCTACAACGACTGGGCTCAGATATACGACGATGTAAGTGTGATTAATAACAAGAAATTTGATATCAATGCACCAAAACGAGACGTACCGAGAAAATCGGGCACATGTACATGTACACGTAGGCCTATACACAAAGGTTAACAGTAGCCGCTTTACTTATTTGTAGGCCATCTAGGACCCAGAATATATCTTCTATCCTTGTTTGTATATATCTACAACCTATGAAACGTACCATGATGTATCATAGTGAAACCGAAATAATACTGTCTCAATTAGATGTTTATCAACGTGTTTTATGAAATAACAGATATCACATTTTTTTCTAATTTATTTCATAGCGGATCTTTTAAAACCTTTCGTTTCAATAACATAACGTAATTTGCCGTATGTACTAGTATAATCAAGACGTTGTACGGGTGTTTGAAACAACACCTTCATATTAATTAGCGATCCCTTACCTGAGGTAAAGTATAACGGGTAGACGACACTGAAATGGTACAAAGGGACTCTACGTTAATTGTTTTGCAGAGGGAATCTGCTTCTCATGCTATAAGAGGCCCAGGTGACCTTGGATTCGTCCTGTAGCTTCAGCGTCCCTTTAAGAGATAAACATGCATCATTTGTCGATAAAATGTTGGTCTCGCCTTAAAGGTACATATGAACCGAGCATCGGTGGAGCGTTGATTCCCACTTCTACTAGTTTCTTATACCACTCAAATTAAGTCGACAGGCCAAGGGATAAACTGACTAAATCACTCGATCACCCTGAAAGAGCTTGGTAACGGCAAGTCACGAGTTCAAATCCCAGATGACGCATGCCAGTTCACCACAACAACGAACTGGTCCCGCAATCAAAAACCAATGCAGGCTCTCGTGTATCCGAGCAAAATACCTTTTGCACAAAAATCCAATATACTTTAGAATAAGTCAGCGATTTTGACAACAACTTATTGTATGTCATTATCATAAAGTCTGCGTCGTCAATTATATTTCTTTTCTCCTTGTTTTAAAGTCTTTAAAATGATACCGGTACTTAGGCAGGGATGGGCCTATCAATGAATACGATCCAACTTGTTTTGATTCTGTAGCTTTTCCGGCCGTATAACAGCACGTCATACCACTTGTTAACCGTGTTCGGTAGAAAAACGATATCTCCTCGGAGGAATTATTTGCCAAATATGTTTTACTCAAAATTCCCATGGCTGCAATCGCACCAGTAATTAAACACTTGAATGTTTTGTATTTTTTTATTCTCTCCTCTTACGGTCTCGCTAAAAGTAAAACCCGCCTGTTGTGCACCGCCTCTGATCCCACTGTACTCTTTCATATCGTGGGTAAAGCCAAAATCAATCTTAGTTTAGAACAAAGTCCCAGCTCCGAGCCGGGTTGTCAAAGACGACTTCGTGTACATCACGAACTTAACCGTTCGCGGTTGCGTGGGCTGAAATGCGGCACCCGGATTATCGATTGAGACAGCAGGTCTACACATGTACACCCAATTTGGCGCTCTCCGTGACGAGGTTGAAAGTTTCCATCTGATCACTACGTATCAACGGAGCTGTCGTAGCTGCGTGGTAACTCTGCTGTCTTGCATGCAGGCAGACATTGGGACGGCGGTTCGAGTCACAGCAGCTGCTGTGTTGATACTTTTGCCAGAATGAATTTTTAAAAATTGCGATTGATTACTATAAGAGGAAACTCGCTCGTACGGAGGGTGGGCGGGTCAGTCACGGAGCAGTCGGTAGCGTGCATGGATGCAAATGAGACACCCAAAGCGTCATCAACCTTGGTAACGCAAAGTCACGGTTTCGAGTCCCGGATGAGGCACGTCAATCCATCAAGACAACGACCTGGCCCCTGAATCTGGATGTCACCGGACGAAAACGAATGAGGGCGCCCGTGGGACATAGCAAATTACCTTTTGCATAATAAAACGGTATACTTTAGAAAGTTTACATCAGCGTCGACAATTTTATTTCCCTTTTCTTCAGTTAAAAGTCCTTATATTGGTGCCACAGATCTTGAACCTAAATTGAGCTGTTTACTATCTCCGTCCAGTCATCCCACCAGGAACGTACAGAGCAGGCCTATCAATGAATACGATCCAACTTGTTTTGATTCTGTAGCTTTTCCGGCCGTATAACAACACCAATTCCACAGTCTATATTTCAAATGGCAAAGACTGCTCAAAACTAAAATCGTCACGGTGTGAACCGCTTTGACTCTCATCGTGCTCTATATAGCGTCACAGGTGAAGTCAAACGTAAACTCAGTGTAAAACAAAATAAAAATAACATCATCTGAAATCGTCTAACTAGGAAAGTTCCAGGCAGGCTTATAAAAAAACGACGTAACTTTCCCGCCATAACACCACTAGGTCATACAGTGGCGGATTAAGGTTGTTCCGAAGAAAGGATTACACTGATTTTCTTTCCTTGAAATTAGACATTTTATTAACTGTTTCATAGTTCTAACCGTACCAAATGGCGCCGTTTGCCCTCTAAAATACTCTAAGGGGTCGAGGATCCGGTTTCCTATCCGAGGCCTGTGATTCCTAAAAAAATCGGATCCCTATTCAAATAATCCTGGAGAGACCGTCAAATTATCGTTTGACTATTACGGAAGATTGTCACCTAAATGGCTGACTTTTGAGTGCCTTGGACGAATTACCTGTAAGAACCCGGTAAAGTGGCAATGTAAACAGTGGCGGATTTAGGGGGG